AAGTCGGTAAAGACCTCTACGGGATGAAAGCAAGAGTTCGATCAAGACATGAATGATTGTCGAGGTCAATGATACGATAATAGAGCGAATATGGTAGGAATAATCAAAAGTGTCCGAACCAGAATTCTGAAACTATATTTTCGAGCATTTTTCAATATATGTGGTAGTCACATTTTGAATTTATTGATAGCTCATGCAGACAAAACTTAGGTACGTTAAATCAGCTTCTATATTCGGATTTCTCCAAGTCTGTTTGTTTTATTCTCTGGATCTACAACGTGACAGGAAGAGATTTCATAGCATATTGAAGGATTATTGCTTATTCCGAATTTGATTATTGCGAAAATCGCTGGAAGTATAGTTTCTAGTCTTATTACTGTTCCAGTAATGAATCTTCATAAAGAAACAAATTACTCAGTTGCAGCATCAGAAGTCTTGTAGTCTGCAGCATGGTTGGTGGTAATGGTTTAAATAAAAGTTGTCAAACAAAGTTCTTAACTCCCATCCTGTTATTATTTCTCATCTATATAAGTTGTCACAGCAGCAGGGCAAGCATAGTGGTATTTTTTTTTATAGAATCGAGCATGCGGTAAATATTCTTCTAGTGTAGTAGAATAGTAATACGACTTTCGAAGTGTTACTGCATGAAGCAATTTCAAACGTTTAGCAAAAGAACTGGGAAGATTGTGTGAAGCATGCAGAAAAATGCCAAGAAATCTCATCTGGCAGAAGATATCGTAATTCATGTAGATGACGATTACTCTGATGTAAAATTTTAATGTAAATTGTTTTAGATTTAATTTTAGATTACCTTTATATTTATATTTATTTTCAATAGAACTTGTTACATTCCAAACATTTGTACTTATAGTTTTTTAATGCATAGATACCTAATTATTAATTTATTTTAAATCATTATTATTCTTATTTTAATATATACGTTGTGTGTTTTATCTTTTTTTTTCATTTTTATCACCAACCCACATACAAACAAAATTAACTACACAAGACAAAACTAAATACACTATCGATAACGCTTATCGACAACAATAATGCGCATCACTATGCTCGCCCCTAAGGCCCGTGAGTGGGAGAGGGCGAAATAATCCGATGATTTATGACCCAAACTGCACGGACAAAATAATTCTAGTATAGTAATATACTAGTCATTATCACTATAAACAACAAGATGCTAACCATACTGACGAGATCGGTGCGAGCGCGGCGTGGTGAGGGGGACGCGAGAGTGGCATCGCATTCCAGCGAGGTGCAGAGATATTGTGACCGTATTATATATTCTCTCATCGAGTCGAGATGTGCATATAGTTTAATTCGCTCATTTTCTCATTCATGGTAAGTTGTATTGTATGTCTTATCAAGCCTTTACGAAGTTTAGTCCAGCATAGATTATGTATACCAGTAGTTGGAATCTACATAGTTACAAATGAGACATTTAATTGAGAGCGCGTTCCCCCTAGTCGGGTGTCGGGCCCGGCAGAAAATCGGTTGCTCTAGTGGTAGAACATTTTATATGAAGCTGTTCACACTTATACGACACGGTATTTTTGTCGGCGCCGAGAACAAATATCTGGTGTTTTGCCAGCTCTCTACGTCCGTAAAAAAATCGCGTCGAATTTTTTCGCCTATGAGTAGGTACGGCGCTGTTCACATCGCGTTGGGTGTCTGGACCGGCAACCCTTTATATCGAGACGCGCACGCAGAGTTGTATCATTTTCATTGTAAACAACATATTGTACGCACGTTGGGTGCTTCGTAATTATGGAAAATAGTACAAATCCTGAAGATACGATTACACTAGTTCAGAAAAGGGGTGTTCTTTTCTGAACTAGTGTAATCAATCTTTGGGACAAAAATTTTTTGTTTTCTTGGCTTTTATAACTTCTTTTCTTCTAAAATAATACATTACAACAAAAACTTCGTCGACGTCCGTCCTTAGTAGTCGCTTCGCATAGATCACAAAAAAATGGCTGCAGCTTTAATCAGGACCCACAACAGACTAGTGTGAACAGAGAGTGCGCGGACACCCGAAAAGTGTGAAGGAGCTCTGATATGAGTGCTTTGAACAGTTTGAAGTTATGACTCTCTTAGGGGAAAAAGCCCCAAAGCGACCTAATTTAAAGTGGGCACCCTTCATGGTACTAACATTTTAAATCTTACCGTGACTTGGTGGCGTGGGGACATAGTCCCAAATCCACCCAACTTGAAGCAGTCGTGAAACTAATCACTAACACGCTAAGTGGCTCGTGTGACAAAAAAAAAACAAAATTTGACGGTTTTTGTCGAAAAATGCAAGGTATACCAACATATTATAGCATGTCACACAGACTTTTTTGGTGATATTTGCTTGAATTTATTTAAATCCATTTTAGGTTGGGTTTGACTGATGTGCCTGCGGCGCTATAAGCAAAGCGGGCAGGGTGAAGCGAGCACGATTAATTTTTTATTGAAATATTTTTATCTTTTATCACAAAAACTGAAAATCATATCTTAGTACAAGGTCAATTATTTATTTTTATTTTTAACATAACATACATAATAGTAGTACGTAGTACAAAATATTGCACATTTTGATGTAAAGACGATTTAAGAAGTTTCTTTCAACACATGCATAACAAAATATCTCTAGAATTTGTTGATGTGCATATTTTTAAACAAACATGTAACTTTGTGATTCTTGTGTTTTTAATTGGGTATTAAGCTGAATCTCAAACACTCTGAAAACCTTTCGATTTCATTTAACCACTAAGTTAGTACAACATGCAAAGTCGATTATTAGTGTGTGACTGTGTTTATTCGCTAAGCAGAAACTTATAAATTATATGGATTTTGATGCGTATGGCATTATTTATAGAAATATTTAAAGAAGGTTTGTATGAGTAATCTCTGCATATTTTATATTTTCATGTGAGGATAGTCGAGAAATTTGGCGTTTTGTGAACAGTAACAGTAGATGGTAAGCAATTAATACCGCTAGTGAATTGCACCCGTGCAAAGCTGTTTCGAGTAATGTAAAACTTGATAGTATTTAACTTAATGCAGTTTATAAAAATCATATAATATAAAAAACATTCCTTATATACAGTCAATATAATATCACAGTTAGTTATTTTACCAAACATTTACAAACACACTCAAGGTTAAATCATACTCATGAGCATCAATAAAGATTTAGCAACATTTTTCATACGTGGTAGAGCCACATTGCAGCTATATTAGTTGTAAAATAGCAGCTTAAGGCTGTTGTGTTTCGTATGGTGAGTGTAGAGAACCGGAGACCCTTTTTACTGGAAAAGAGGCATTCCTCCTCAGGGGTGACAACGTATCTGAATTTTGATTTTTAACTAAGGATAAATGTAGATATCTATGGGTCACAGCATCCACTTAACATCAGGTGTACTGTGTGCGCGTTTATCACCATTATTCTAAAAAATCTCTATATAAATTTGTACGGAATTAAATTCTAATAATACGAATGTTGAATAGATACGAAAAGATAAATGTATGTCTGTGCACGCTCATACAAAATAATAAAATTTTCTTAAATAAATTGCGAAATGACGCTGACAAATATGATTTGACCCTAAGCAAACATTTACTTATTAATCAATTGGTTTACATATTATTACCAAAACGTTACTCATCTTAAAAGCGTCTTAAAAATTATCTCTTTAAAAGTAACAATTAAATGATAAAAACACGATTATTATACACCTATTTACAACTATGTATGTATATATATATTGTGAATTTATTTATTTTATAATTTTGAAAATATCTAGTCTGCCGCCAGTGGTTGATGAATAAAAAGAAATATCCGGCTGCAAGTTATAAGCGTACTATATTTTATTCTATAATGTACGTATAGGTTATATTTTAAATATTAGTATAGTATTGTAGCAATGCATTATTTTTATTTTGCTTTATTCCATTAAATATATAAAACCGATTTTGGTTGTTAATTTAGGTTAAGTCAATTTAAATAATTTATGTACTTTTTATAAGTTATATAAATGAAAATGATTGATTATTATTTTATTAGTTATATAAATGAAAATAAATCTATAAAAATATGCACGCTATAATTTATTTTTGTAATGTGGTGAGTTTGAAGTTCTTTCGTCAGTAATCTTAGGAAACTTCATAACAAATTCTCCATAACAACAATGTGTTTTAGAAATACAATATCTGGTGTTGATTTACCACGTAATAAGTAGTGCAGGAAAGCGCCGCCGTGACCAAAAAGTCTGGTGCTTATGAGGGTACATTTTAACCTGCCCCATGGTTTCCGTGTAATGAACTCAGGTGGAATTAGGGCGCGGCCGGTGTTCGGCGCGTCTTTAATAAGAAAAAGAAGAATTATTCTCTCCTAAGGGGCAGCCGGAACTGGGCTGTGGTAAGTGAAGTGAGAAATCAGATTAAACTCTTTCTGCTCTTTTGAAATAACTATTTCAGTAGCCTGTTCCAAAATATCGTGCTTTTATCTCGAACATTTTACGATAAAAACTGTCAGACCCTGTTACTATACTACTATCTGTCTCGATCCTGTTACTGTGAATAGGAACAGTTATTTAGGTTTAAACACAACAGTTTTAATCTTTAATTTTTAAAAACCTGTTTTTGTCCCAGTTATGATAAAAATGTCCCACCCCAACTACGGATGTGTTCGAAAACGTTAGAGGATGAGAGAAAAAAAGGTTAAATTGCTACTGCATTAAGGAAAATGAAATTTGCACAGCTGATAACTTGCGGCAGTATAGCATTATTAACTTACCTTAGCGGCAGTATATTCCTTTTTAATTAAACGATCACTAGTGGCAGGCTAAGACACTTCCATTACAAACTATTGTCTTAAAAATATTATTTTTAAAATTTTTGAAATGCATTGATTAAATTATTTTATATTGAAACAGACAAAAAAGCAACTATATAAATAAGACTATGTAGCTCTCAATATCTTATTACGCGCACACATAATCAATTTACGCGTCACCACTTCCATCCCCGCGTCTTCTTAAGTTACTCTTTCCAAGCATGCTTTCCAGAGCTAGCTTGTTGTTATTTAGTAATGGCTCATGTGGGAAATTTGGCAGCCTGCTGGTGCTAGCTGACCTCCGCAAATTTGTAGTTCTTGTTGAATCCAGTTGTAGCGTGTTGTTTCTATTTTGTGATATTTGTGCTGTAGAAAGAGCGCGTGAACAAACATCTAGAAGTCTATCCAATGTCGCCCCACTTATCCTATCGTTAGATTCAGTATCAGCCGGCTGACTTCGGTTAGTGTTCATAAATGTCCTGTTGCGTTGCTTCAATCCAATACTTATCAAACCCAAAAAACTAAGGTTGAAAGGTATGTTAAGTATAAAATTGAAAATTATCATTATGAAAAGGAATATCAGTAACGTGTTGAAGATTACTATCAGGAGTCCAAACATCATTTTGTCAAAAGGATACCAAAGACCATCTGAAAAAAGGTAACAGAAATTACAATTAAGTACATGTTACGCAATAATTAAAGAACTATTTCTTTTATAAACTTAAGTAGCAAATGTAAAGTGCCTACAAACCTATGGACACTTGCAACAAACTTTAAACAAAAAGACTACAAATGCGATGTCACCTCTGAAGGGTAAGATGAAATACTCTATATCTCTACTCTCTGCGACTGTTTGACCACAGACTATTACGTGTTTAACAGTGGCAGTATGAAAATAAACAAACAACGGTCTTATAATATTTGTTTTACATTGGCAGTATTAACTTCACCAATAAAGTTTTATTTAATTAAATTTAAAGTATTATTTATTTATGCAAAATCTTTGTTGCCCATAAATCACCATCACTCAATTTGAGATAATTTCAAATAAGAGTAGAAGCCTTATATACTCGTATTTTCAAAAACTGTAATAACGGTATTATATTATTTATATATCTGAACTAGTTTGAAATTTGGCTACTCTTTGAAAATAACCCCGTATATATTAAATATTGTTAGTATTACTGTTATTCTTACCAGTGATCCCATGTGTTATTGTTTTCATACAATCACTTATCATTAATATTGGTTCTGATATCAACGTAGTGAACATTCTTATTCCAATCTTAAGTGGATTCATATGCTTCAAGAAGATAAGGGGATCGGGAGGTGGTACTTCACAGTTTGACGACCAGATATACCATTTGCAGGTATGAACGGCCGATAAAAATCTCTCCACTTCCTGTTTTTCAGCTTCCTAAAATGTATTTGCCAAATAACTTAAAATATCTCCTTCTTTTCCATCAAAAGTCCACTGCTGGATTAAGTGCCTCTCCCGTTACAGAAAGGATTTGCTTAAATCGCCATGCTTGTTTGGCGGATTGGCGATCGCAGGTCCAGACCTCTCACATCTTTAGCGATACTTCCCGTCGCAAGTCTGGGTAAACGTCTCGCGTATATAAGATGATTATATGGCCATCTATCGGAAGCCATGAAATCTTTCTGGCATATCCCGTAATCGCCCCTTACGAAACTCACGGGACAAGACGGGGTGATCTATTCATACATTGTTAAATTTAGCTAAGTATATAAAAAATTCACTGACACTATGTTTAGAACATTTTTATCAAATTTTATTTGACCAACTAATTGTTAACATCGACTTTACAATGTTAACAATTGGTCAAGCTCAAAACATAAAGATCGTAAGGGATTAAATAATTATTTCATTATAGAAATTACAAACCATTCTTAACATAGAAATGCAGTATTATTTTCTAATCTGAAGATATTAAAAAATTTATACTGCATAAATGTTATATGTTATTATAAGTTATAAACATATAACTGTTATTAATTTGCCTTTGGTGCATTAAGGGGTTGTATTTATGTATCTTATATCTTTAGTAAAGCGCACCTTTAAAAACAAACCGTTACTAAACGAAAATATAAAATTATACACAGAAGCTTAAACGGAAATGCATGGCTTTTTCGTAATAGAATTTAAGAGCGTATATACAAATATTCGAACTCAAAATCGCTCTGGAACGGCGTAATATTGACGAACACTACAATGTTCTCTGTGTGCGTGACTGCTCGAGGTGGGGCGAGCGCAGTGATATCTGGCACGAATCATCTTGATACTATTGGAACTAAAAGGGTAAAATAATTTCCACATAATAGCTTATGAGGTCGGTGCTAAGTCATAGTGTATATAATGTAACGCTTCCCCCCTCTCTTACATAATAATAAATATATTAGATATAATTAATTTACCCCTTTTCGATAAAAATTATATATATGTGACCAAGATAAATAAGATATGTTTTGATCTTTCTAAAGGTTTAATAATAGGCCGTTTGTAATATTTTGGCGTGATCGTCTTAGTTAGGACCCTTATTTACGTTGTGTTTGTTTAGTAACTTAGTTCTTTTAGGTGTCTTTTGGAAGAATGAATATTCACTAGAGCAATTGAAAGCTGTTGGTAGTGCCTTATAAGCTAAGTGAACCCCGTTCACGAAGACAGGGCTCGAGAAAGGTTAAGAACATAAAACGTCCCTATTCCACTTGTATCAGGTTTACATTATTAAATTATCCCTTCCCGCTCGGAAAAGGCTCAAAATATATTTATACAAAATACCCGATACAAGGGCTTCGCTCTCCTACATTTATTTAAAAAAATGTAGGGGAGGCACACGCCGTGCACGGTGAGCGCCAACCATTTTGATGCACTCCCCCCGAAGGGAACGCTAATTCGGGAACTGGACCGTTGTCCACAGCAAAATAACTGGCAAACCAGTAAAAGAGGCTTGGCCTCTTGTTAGTGCGTAAGCACAAACATCGACCGAAGTCGCGCATGTCATTGCGTGTAAACGCCATACAGAATACGAACGAATCCAGCCACAGTGAATGTACATCACACGGTTTAGGCAAATAGGCACACTAGCCGTAAACCCTCCGTGAGCGCCACCACCTGCCAGACCGCCGCTCCCGCAGACGTAATGTAAGTGTATGGCATCACCACCAATTGCATGATTAGCACGGCTGCTAACCGCAGAGCGTGTCATGAGTCGGCCGCTCACCTCAAGGGAATGGGGACCCACGTTGTGCGGCTTTCGGCCGCAGCCTTGAGTCTCCTCAGATCCTCCCGCCAGCTACCACCCGCATGAGGTCGACACATATGCTCCACCAACCAATACAACGGCAGATATAGCCAAAATGCAGTTATATAATACGAGTAATAATTCGCCATCAGAAAGGGTTTGTGTCATTGAGGTTGAGTAAATGCATTTTCGATCGTGTTTGTCTCACCCACCAACAAGTTGCTTTCAATCATTCAAAGGTGGGAAAGTTACAGAGATATAATATTATGTTGTTATATAAAACATCGTGGAGGGCAGACAGTCTGCAGCCCCGTAATGAAGGGACCCGACTTGGGCAAAGCTACTTAGGTGTGAGTCAAACCAAGACACAGAGAGCGCCGTTGAGAATAGCGTCCCACCAAACAACCATCGCAGAGACGCAATGCTGCAGAACGCAACAAGCATCAATACGACTATCGTCGGGCTTACACCATTCCAAGGTCCCCCATACATCCCAGCAGACATCACCACCCGCATACCTCCATCGACCAGAACCACAAGAGTGCGTCGAATCAGGCGCAGCACACCCGCAGATCATCACAAGACGCAATACCGCAAGTAGCAGTAAGCATCAATGCAACTATCATACGGATGGCGCCCCCTCACAACACACCCACATGATCCCTATCGACTTTGGTAACAAAGTTTGTATTGTTGTTATATAAAAAATATCACCAACGTATCATAGTAGCACGCTACTAAGACGCCAATGAACAAAACTCCACGTATCATAGCGCTAATGCACTAAGACATGAAGTTGAGTATGCCTGTTACACTTAAAAGTGCTACCAAACACACTCATCATCCCAATCCGAAATATAGACGACGCATCGCTATGCGCTACTATGCCGCCCACAAACGGTATGGGTGTGCGATGTCCACGGGAAAGCCGTATTGCTACAACAAACCCGCTTACCACCGGCACTAAGATGTTATTTGTTTACCTCCATCGACCAGAACCACAAGAATGCGTCGAATCAGGCGCAGCACACCCGCAGATCCATCACAAGAAGCAATACCGCAAGTAGCAGTAAGCATCAATGCAACTATCATACGGATGGCGCCCCCTCACAACACACCCACATGACCCCTATCGATTTTGGTAACAAAGTTTTTATTGTTGTTATATAAAAAATATCACCAACGTATCATAGTAGCACGCTACTAAGACGCCAATGAACAAAACTCCACGTACCATAGCGCTAATGCACTAAGACATGAAGTTGAGTATGCCTGTTACACTTAAAAGTGCTACCAAACACACTCATCATCCCAATCCGAAATATAGACGACGCATCGCTATGCGCTACGACGTCGCCCACAACCGGTATGGGTGTGCGATGTCCACGGGAAAGCCGTATTGCTATAACAAACCCGCTTACCACCAGCACTAAGATGGGCCATGTCTTTGTCTAGACTTCATTGATATGTCTAGGACACATCGGTTAGCGAGTCCAAGTTTACCTCGGACCAATTGCTCGTGAAGCAGCATACACGCCACCATAATATTCCTTTTCAAGTCCCTAATAAGGACTAGTCATTTTGCTACAGTACTAGGAGCTGTCGGTCACCCGACCACCCCATACAATGCTTATGCATCAAGGAGACCTTCTATAATAATGCTTTTGTATCATTGAATTTACTATCATAAGTCCCTAATATAGGACTAGTCATTGTGCTACAGTACTTCAGGCAGTCGGACTCCCGACCACCCCATATATATGTACAACTGCAGGTATGTATCTCCGGCAGCTCCTCTATACAAGACATCTATACATGAACACCTTCCATAACTTAGGAAACTTTTCTTTTATACGTGAACTCCTTCCACAACGTAGGAAATTTCTTTTATACATGAACTCCTTCAACAACTTAGGAAAATTTTCTTTTATACATGAACTCCTTCCAAGACTTAGACAATTTTTAACAAATTTTCTAATTATCTTATAAATGTTATTTATCTTTATTTTTATAATATTTTCGACTTGTATTTCTATTATTTATCTTATTTTAAATATTTTTTCAAGTTTTTAATAAATTTATTTATTATGGAAGACAATATTTTGCCTTTAATTTACTATGTTATTGGTCTGATGTCTGAAATGTATTTATATTAATTTTATGGTTATTAATGTAATTTTATTGTTTATTATATATCTTTTAAGACTATTTTTGACGCCCCTTTATATTGAATTTAATTATTAATAATAATATTGGGCCGTCACAATAAGAATTAATATCTGATCTAGCTCTGACATCGGAAGCTAAAATGTATAAATTATTTTATTCTTTTAGTAATTTGTCGGCTTTTCTTTTTTATTCTATTGAATAGACTAAAGAATTTCACAACGCCAAGTTAACAACTAGAAAGGAATAAGTAATATATTATGTCCGAAATGAAACATATGTATTATATAAAATAGATTTCGTTTGATATACATTTATTATGTTTCATAATATAAAGATAATTCATCAAAATAATAATTTCATTAGTGTCGGCAGGGTTTATACCCGGGTTGCTCGCGATTACGGCGAGCACTTCGCCCTTGCGCTACCATGGCTCATATCTTTTTTGTTTCTATTTTATAATAACGTTACCTCCTCACTAAGAATGTTTTCTAGGTATGTCATGCGGTCAGTTAACAATTAACATAAGAATTTAAATTTCACAAGGACAAACATCCAGACCCGGAACAATTATTTGTAGGAATACAAATTTTTGTTCCGTGCGGGAAACAAACCCGCGCTCCTTAGTGTTAAACTCATTGCTAAGCCACTCCGCCACGAAGCCATCCAATATATCTTTTGTAGTGATAAACATTTTAGTTTAGTTTAGTTATAGTTATATTGCTTACTGTTATATAAAGTTATAAAATTATTAATAATTAAATTAAATAATATCTTTTAAACAAGTATCAAAGTAAGTGTTGTGTTTACGTGCTATTATTTATTCTGTATTTGAGCCTTCATAGTTTCCAATAGTGTGGCCAGGTAAAATCGGGACAGTTATAATAGCTAAAAATACTGGAATTTTTGACAAAATTCGAAATGTGTTTCCACCGGGTACAAAGCTTCCTGACCGCTAAATGTTCGTGGAGGATTTTATGCACTTGACTCATACCGATGCCTAAGCTTGTCCGAATCTGCTGATAAGTCATTCTTTTGTCAGTCTCTACCATACGCCGCACAATACTGATGATATCTTCAGTCATCGCCGAGAAGGGTCACGAGAGTGGTTTTGGGGGGGTCTATCACTTTTCTTTGGGAAAAATATTCGGCCAAATATTATTCGGCAGGATAACCTCGGGACCTAACCAATTTATGTCGAAACTTTTTACCGTAAAGCGCACGGGATTAGCGCCGAAGCCTGCCTCTCGCTCCCCGCCACACCTGACAGTTATTGCATCATCTAGTACTGAGGAAATTGCCGGCACATGCTTATGTTTTGACTATTCTTGTGATAAAAAGTATTTCGTTGTTTTATTCTTAGTGAAAATTGATAATTATATGATAAAAATGAGCGGCAGGAGAATTTGCCATAATGGGAAATAAATCTACAGTGCCTCAAAAACATAAATGTATAGATTTATGCATTTGAGGCACTCTAGAGAAAGTAGATTTAACCCATAAATAAAATACAACAGTAAAAGACATCGCATTAGTCAATTCGTACATTTCAATACATTAGACATTATGAAAACGAATATTCGGTGATTTAGCCGAATATTCGGTACTATTGTAAAGCTGCCGAACATGCCGAATACCGAATATAAAACGAATATTCGGCCCATCTCTAAACACACAATAATATTGGAAAAGATTTCTATTTTAAAAATTATAACTTATTTTTTTTTATTATATCGTTTACAAGGGGCCAGTTCTAAAAACTTTCAGTGTCGCCCTCGTATATAGCAGAGATGCAAATACACAAACTGGCAAAGGTTCAGTACATCTGATAATGCAATCGTCAAACCAGTTGCCAATAGTAATGAAGACAAATCCCACCTTCATTAAAACTTACGGGATGATAAAAATGATAAAACTTGACTCACCTTATAAGAAATAAATACTTCATATAAGTATAAAAGTAAAACGGAGATAATTATTATGTGTTTGTGTGACATATGACTCCAAAGCCAAATTATGCCGATTTTTATTGCTAAAACAATAAGTATCCATGTAATTTGTGTCTGAAAAAAAAAGAAATAATTAATAGTTGAATAAAAAGATAAAAAACCTTTTTTTGTACTAGTTCAGTATTGCCCGTGTGGTATCAGTGCAAGAGGAATCATCACTGCATGTAATCCCGTGGGTGAGAGCTCGTACAAAGCCCCCAACTCAATGGAGTGATTGTGAGTGATAAAATTAGCACTCTATTGAGAACAAAACTTAATCGTCTCTGAGAGTACACACGAGTACACACTCCTGCAATATAACTATGTCCCGAGCAAATCCTAGTCTCTGTTGCGACTGCCTGCTGTGATTGAAATTCGGTCTGGAGGTCATAATTAGTTAAGAGGTGGTGAAATCTCATCATCACCGAAGTCGGCCAGTTGATGAACCCTTGGGTTTCGTTGTCGTATTGCGAATTTCCCTACCTTCAGCTCATCATTCTTTCTTGTGCATAGTTTTGCGTTAAAGTCTCCCATTAACACCATATGATGATGATGATGACCCGGGTTCGATCCCCGCCGGCACCAATGAAATTGTTAATTGCAATTTTAAGTGCTGATATACCACGTTCTCGGCGGTGAAGGAAAACATCGTGAGGAAACCTGCATGTCTGAGGAATAAGGAAAAAAAAATATTTCGAAGACATGTGAAGTTCGCCAACACGCATTGGGGCAGCGCGGCGGACACTTCCTTGCCCTAAAACTCTCTCAGAAATGGGGGGAGGCCTGTGCCCAGCAGTGGGACGTATATAGGCTGTAACTTTACTTTTACTTTCCTAGAGATATCCTCATACATTTCCTCCACCTCCTCATCGGGACATACCAAGGTTGGTGCGTAATACCTGGATGACTTTCAAAGAATACTGTTTGGTGATTCTGAGTATGAGGTCCCTCGTCGACACACTCACAAATTTTTCAACATTGTTAAAGAGAGACTTGTGGACATTAAATCCGATACCACCTTGGGACACATGGTCGCCCTTCCGGTGATAGAACAAGTTGCCGGATTCGAGGATTACCGTAGCCTCCCCCGCTTTTCAGACGTTAGATAATCCTCTAACATCCAACTTCTCTATCCCATCTTCCAGCTCCAGGATTCTCTTGTCAGTCCAAGTCCAGGTTGTACAACACCGAACCTGCACCAGAGATTCGTAATAACCCCTGCCCTGCTGTTACCATGGTCGCCACCAAAGCCCGGAGCGGGGTCGCCGGGGACTGGGGATTGTTTATTTGTGACTTTGTTCATGACGGGATTTTTGCCATAGTTGCCATATTGCTGTTATCAGAAAGATGCTGCTGCGCAACTCCTGCCTAAGTTTACCTCTGTTGTCTCTTACAATACACACGGGAAGATATGGGGCATTGGGTATTTTTGCACATCCAATACATGGGCTATAGAATACATACTTACATTAAAACAAAAGCAAAGAAAAAAAATTTTTTAAGGTAGTAATTATTATTGAACATATATCAGAAAATATATAATTATTATTGAACACTATATAATAAATATATAAATGATACAGTTAAGTATTTGGTTATGTGTTAAATTAAAACCAAATGTACTGGTGATTGACAGAAGCTTGTGGGTCTTACAGATTACAAAGCACTGAAACCCAAAATGATTTATATGAAGAAATAGCCCAAATGCACAGGTTCAAAAGAGAAATCAATAAACTGAACAATTGGGTCACTAGAAATGTATGTTTGATACATACCTAAAAGATTGAGAAAACAGGTTATAGCATAAAAAAAAAACATAAATTGTACACTGATTGTGTACAGCTTGTACACTGATTATGTGCTAATTAGCTAACTATTTTCTAAGGCTCATCATTCTTCAAAAACAGCCAATGAGGATAAAGTAAAGAAATTAAAAAAAAACTTCAATGAATTATTCATATATATGTATTATATTCTCGAATTTTATATTTAAAGCATTTAGATTAAGACTTAATGATTTAATAGTATTGCATTTATTATTTATACTTTCTCAAAAATTTGAATAACTTCTAGCAGATGCTAGCTGGAGATGTGAGACATTCTCATACTAATTTTTATTTACATACTTTTAAACAAGTTTATTCTAATATAAAACATACACTCACCTTATATTGTACTAAATAAAAATGAATATATTCATCCCATGCCATAACAATTTTTTCTGTTATACTGGGTTTATATATTGAGTCCTCAATGTATCCCACTGAACGCCGAAACATATCCTCAGTAAACTGTTTGCTTGATGTTAGGTAATTATTCAATAGCATCCAACGTTCCTGATCGAATTTCATTTGTAAAGAGATATCAATTGAGTCATCATCATTTTTCTATAAGCAGAAAAACTTAATAAGCCCGAGTTAATAGTGGAGTTTTTTGAGTACACAGTATTTATTTTATAGTTTTTAATTTAAATAAAAGGTTATATTATATACAGTCTCAGAAGTAACATCTATACAATAACATTAACAATTTTAGTTTCTCATCAAGTTGAATGTTGTAATTCTTATGACAAATAAATTATTTTATAACTATCAAAAACTACTGTAAATAATCCTTCCATGTAGTGGCGGTGTAACAATATACACTACCCCATATCATCTCATGGGATAAGATGCAACAGAGGGAAACAATCAGGAGATGAGCAGCAGCATCTTTCTAATAACAACTAAAAATAAAAAACTGCAGTTGCCAGCCCCCTTGCTATGCATAGCAACTATGGCAAATATCCCCCCTATCGAGCAATCTATGGGGGAGGCCTATGTTCAGCGGTGGACTGTAATAGCTTGTAACAGTAACAGTTGTAAAGTATAAAACAGTTCAAGTGATATTGTATGAAAATTAAATTATAGGTATTTCAATTTATTGAACTATCAACAACTATGCTATAAATTCTAGGGACAGGGTTGGACATCTTAAAACATTTCTAAAAACAATGAGAGGATAATTAGTTCATTTATCTAAACCTGAGATTCTTAAAGTGGGTTTCGCAAACTTAAAGGTTCCGTCGTAGTCAACAGGGTTCGACAAAATTATTATAATTTTTAAAGAATTCCAAAGTCAGGTAAAGGCACGGGTTGCACGGTGTGGCAGGTTGCATCTACCACATGCGGTTGAGAGTTTTTAAATAGGTGTTAGGAGATTGAAACAGAAACAGAGAAATATGTTCTTCAGTTTATACTTATATAGCAAAAGAATATCAGGTCAAGATTGGATGCTATCCCAAACATGTGCATACAATTGGCGGACATAATATAAACTATAAAGCAATTATTAATAAAACAGACAAAACAGTATTTTTTCATAATTTCATTTTTAAAACATTTCAAATTAAAAAATTCTTCTTATTTAAATTGCACTGTCTTTTATTTGTAATTTTTTATTATCATTAGGTGTAGGGTTTCATAAAATAAAATGAATTTGGTGAGTGTTCCATTCCCTTCAAAAATTAGAAACCCCTGGTTTAAGTAATATCAAATAAAAAACCAACATTTGTTTAACAGTCTTTACTTGATCATGATATTTATTTTACTTTGGAATTCAAAGTAGACTGTAAGATTTTAAATATTACAATAGTCAATATTAAAATATGACAAATTCATAAGTGAGGACCTAATAAGTTATATTATTGTTTATTTATTTACTTAATAAGTAATAGTACATTATGCCTCTAGCGAGGAAAGTATGACACATTGTAATGTTGATAAGAATGCACATTGTGATGTCATACTTTTCTGCCGTAGTGCATTTACTATTTTGTATTAGATCAGGATTAAAAGTTTAAATTAAATTCAAGTAACATAATTTATTCTCAAAGTATCATGTTTTCGATCTTAAACATCATGGTTTTGATGTTTAAGAAATATAGAGCTAGAAATTTGAGGCTTGAGTACTAAATAAACAAATCATTGTGAAGTTAAAATGTATCACAACATATACTTTAGACGTTTACAAGCTATAGAGCTAGAAATTTGAAGCATGCATACTAAATTAATAAGTCTTTGAATCGGGAGACAATGTGGCCCTTTCATCCCTGAAAATAAGGTTGAAATAGAAACTTTCAATCAAAATATGTTAAAGTAGTAACAAGTTAAAACTTAAAACAAATAATAAAGATGATATTAATAGGTATTGAGTCAGAGTAAATTAATAATATACTCACACCCTTGTTCAAAAATTGCAAGAAAAGCTGATTTTTAGATAATTAATAAGGCCTGGATTGAATATTTTTTAAAGGATGAAAAATGATCACGCAGTCCACTTAATAGAAAGTGGATGCTGTGACCCATTATCACCTACATATATCTGATTAAGAATTAAAGTGAAGACATGTAGACATCCCTGACGACTAAGATGAAATGCCTTGTTATTAGTAAAAAGGGTCTCTTGCTCTAGTTATTTGCCATACAAACAAAGATGCATTACACTGCTATTTCTCAGTGGTAAACTGTGCGAGGGTAGTCCTTCCACCATAGAACCAAACCATTAATTTATAAAAATTAAGCGATAACAATCTGCAGCATGGCTGTACCGTGTTTTAGATGTGTTATTGATATAATTCTTTACATCTTTTAAAAGATAAGTTTACGATTAATTACACTTATTCATTCAAAAAAGTATTATTATTAATAAAAATCAAACCTTTATTTGACCAGCTTTAAGAACAATAGCTAATATTCTTCTATAAAACCATTCGCTCATTCCGGACTTGTTTTCTGAACTCAAAATATTTTTTGGTATTGCTCGCAGGTCTGGTGGCACGACAGTATCGTCTGATAATTTATGAGACAATTTATTAGATTCATAATCCCATGGGTCAGGTCCGATTTGAGACATACAACTGCAGAAATTTAAACAGTACACTAAAAGATAAAAACGAATTTTCTTCATGTTTACGCGGTTAGACTTAGACGGCTATCCACAGAGTACCTTTGTATTGGGCATGCAACTTAGAACATTATTTTGAGAACAAATTGATATCTTTTTGTGCTGCCATCTTTCGTGTGGGGCATGTAAACTAAGACTTACTTTTATCGAACTAGAGGGCACACTTATGTATTAAGTCTATGCAAAGGAAACAATCCATGTGCTACGTACATACGCAATAAACAATAATGGCGGTCGCTATTCACTAATAGTAAATCATAATAGAAATCAATTTAATATTATTCCGATTTCTAGTGCATTTATATACTGTGCTGTGTGTGTATTTAGAAAGGATAAAACCGATTGTGAAATTTACAATAACTACCGCATTTGTGATCGGATCTTTGAGGATCGTTTTTTATATCCTCGAACCAAGACTTCCCAGACCCCAGTCTTGAACCTTGGTAAGTCTATTAAAAGCTTTCTCACTGTCATGTTTTATAGCAATTCTTTTAGCAGTAAGCCCTAGATTATAACGCAGGGTAAGGTTTACAATTTACACACAGGCTTAGCAATAAAAGCTTATTCACTTTTATCGGTTTCTTTGTTAAATATTAAGCTTTAGTCGTATTTTTCATTAGAGTCATGTCATGTGTCCCCTCTACCACCTCTTTTTTGGAAATGTGGAAAGTATACTCAATGGTAGCATATATAATGTAATTAAAAGGAAAACTATCGCAGCAAATTAGAATTAACAAGTTGGATTAGTAAAAATTTTGTTACAACTCCATAGAAAATGACATAAAACAACATTATAACTTTGTAATGCTATTGTGAACTGTAAGAAATAAACATTTTATGAAGAAATCTTACTTACTTACTACTTTCACTTATTTTTTAGTTGGTAGTTATTGTTGTCCCTTTCAAAGTACTCATATAATGAAATAGCCTCACACAGTTTCATTTGTAATACTCTTGGTTTATGCGGGTGACCCACAGTATAATTTAGGGTAGTAACAGATTACCTAATTGGTAAAGTTTTCGATTATTACTTATAACATTATTTTGAATGATTTTAATAGAAAAAAAAGCATGTATCACAATAAAAAATATCTACATATAGAGTGTAACTTCATCTTTTTGTAAATTTTAAGTATTTGACTGCTTTATTACACACCTTAATTGCACAGATCGGCAAAGAGTGCCTACTTAGTGGTAATGATTCTTGTAATAATAAAATAGATTCTGTAAACAGTTTTTATAAATGCAGAAAGTTTTTAAAACCATTACCTTGGCAGAGGGAAATAACCATGCGGGGCGTGTCCATTGGGTTTAATGGTTTAAGGTGTGGCCCGCCACGCACTTGGCCGGTACTTTTTATTTTGTGATGTGAATGATTACAATGAAAATACATTAATTTATTCCTTAATATTATAATAACACTTGAATGCCTCATTGGTCTAGTGTCGTAAATGCAATTGTTGACCATGAGATCCTGGGTTGGGCCAAAATCTGTTTTTGGGTATTTTTATCAAGAAATTCTCAGCAGCAGTCTGGAGATAAGAAATTAGCTGCGTTTCACCCCTCTTGCCTTGGAAAGCACGTAAAGCCGTTAGTCCTGTTTTCTCACTCTCCGGTCGTGACGAAATACCATCCCATTGGATTATGAGATGACCTGTGCTTGCACATACACTTGGGCACTATAACATTTGGTCTGGGGGACATTATTATTATTATTAAATCTGTAGAAAAGTTGTGTCTGTAATTCTAATATATTTTTGAAAAAACAAGTCCAAGGGACTAAGTAAAAGGCATTGAAGCCGAGGGGGGGGGGATTTAAATTCATCATTGTTTTGTTAAAACTAATTTTAATGATGAAAGAATGTACATATTAACACAATTTTTTCCAAATTTAAAAAGGTTAATAAAAAATTGATTTTAAGACAATTTGGTTATTGATACCTTTTTTATGGATACATCAGAAGATACACCTGATATAAAAAATAGCAGGTGATTATAGACATAAGATATTAATGCAATTACGAAAAACTTCATTCACATGTTCCTATAACATATTATATCTATGCCAAATATCAATCATTTATGTTCAATAGTCTTTGAGAATTCAAAACCAAATCTTTGACAAACAGACATAAAGAAAGACACACAGCGAGGTGACTCTAATAGTGATTGAATTTTGCTAAATTTAGAAGGAAACAACATTTATCAATGTTGCTTAATTAAACCCCACGCGTGCGAAACCGCGGGTAAAAAGCTAGTAATTATGATATATGGTATGTAGCAGTGAACAAAACAAGCCCAAGAGAGTTTTATGTGTTACTCATATACTTTCACTACTATTACAGGTTTAGATGCTGAAACATTAGGAATTGAACCCACATCACTTATACCGGATGTACTTTCTTCACAAATTTCTACTACAAGATCACACGATAATCGTATAAGAGGTATTTAATTTATTTTTTTAAAAGAAGAGGCGGCGTGGAAACGAGCATGCGGCTCACCTGATGGATAGTGACTACCGCCACCCATGTAGGACCACAACACTAGGGGCATACGCATTGCCAGCTTTAAAAAAAGAGTAGGCTCATTTTTTGAAAGTCCCAAATTGTATTGGTCCAGAAAATTCTCTGGTGGTAGTATAATATTGATAAACTCTTAATTATTGTAACTATATTCTATTACTATACCAGCAAGTGTGCGATTAGTTAAAGATTTAGTGACTGGAATTTAATAATGATAATGTCCTCCAGACTGAATTTCGGTCACTGCGGCCAGCCTCAACGGAGACTAGCCATCGGCGTGGGACAGGATTATAGTGCCCAAATGTATTCGCGAGCACAGGTACACTATCTACTCCATCACTCTCATATTCCGATTGGACGTAAACCGACACGACCGGAGAGATATCAGGCGCAGGACCAACGGCTTTACGTACCTTCCGAAGCACGGGGGTGATATACCGTCAATTTTCTGACTCCGGGCAGCTATTGAGAATTTCTTGATGGAAAAACCCAATAATTAATTTTTTCGCCCGACCCGGGATTCGAACCCAGGACCTCATGATCAGAAGTCGCGCCAATACAACTACTAAACCAACGAGGCAGTCAATTTTTAAGGCTGGAATTTACTATAATAATAACAAGTACAACATTAAGATTTAATATCCTGAGAATCTTTTTATAGCTGAAACAAGTCAAAAGGCTTTATATCTAAACCTGGCTCACAACTCACTAGGTAAATAACATGTGGGGTAGGCGGTTGACCAAAATTATTCCTGTATCCAAACCTAGGAACGGGTTATTCGTGGTTGCACCTTGCTTTTGTTGCATCTGAAATAACTAGAACTTTGAGAGGAAGCACTCCAGACTCAAAACTCTTGCAGATATAACTTCAAATTTTTGTTATCACTGGTCCGCAAGCCATGCAGTAGGAATGCTACTTTTTTGCACTGTGCACACAGCAGCGCTGTGCCAGCTCCAAAAGCATTCTAATAATATATTGCATAATATGTATAATATCATTACAATGCAGAAGTTAGAATTAAAATTCTTTAAAAAAAGAGATTCCAATACAATCAGGTCTACGCTGTCATTATTTCATCTGATCTCTATATGATTATCAGTTTGGCATACTTTTTTCAGATACATTGATTAAAAGAAAATGTACAGATAAAACATAAAGAAAATGTTAAACAAAATAATGATTTCAAAAAACAAAATATAAGACAAAAAAGTCAAGTAACAGCAGCAGAAAAAATTGAAGCTTTACAATTTTGTGCAAGTGTACGTTTATATACTTTGTTAAATAACATTCAATATTGAAATTATTTTTTGTAAGATATCTTTTTATCGCATATTTAGTATTTACTTGTATTTCCTCTTGTGTCAAACATTTTATTGCTTCTTATTATTTAAAAAGTGCTCATAACATTTTATTTCTTTGCAGAAAATAAGTTGCTGCCACAAGAATGTGAAGATACGGTACTGTTTGATCAATTGTTTGATTCTTTTAATGGAGGTTCCTGTAAGAAAACATACAGGATCTATAAAAATTGTGTAAAACCAAATTCATTGTTTAAGTTAGTAGTTAAGTGTTATTTTGTCATTATTGATTTTAATATGTCTGCCTTTTAATATTTTATTGCACCATCTCTTATGCAATCTTTGAGGGTCTGAACTATGTACAATTAACTTGATCAACAAATTTATGATAAGGGTCCTTACTTTTTATGTTTATGTCATGTTGGAAATTTTAATTTGATATTTATTAACAATTTAATGACTTGAAATATCCCATTTAGGGGGGAATCATTGGTCAAATGTTTTTATTTATTTTTGTTATAATCTCCTCAACACATTATGAAGTTCTGTGAAAGTTGCAAAAACGTTTTTCTTGAAACTACAAATTTGATGTATTTGTTTGGTGTGGGGTTGTCTTACAAAGATCATCATTACAATTATTATATCAATTACATACTATATAAATTTTTGTAATTGCTTGTATGTGTGGTCGTAATTACGTCAACGGAAGTGCTATTCTATTGTATATTAAAGTATTCTATGGTATGTTATATGTTGTTGCTGTTGATGAGGAATACATAGTTGTATTGTTTAAATTAATTTAATTTTTTGTATAAAGAAATCATAAAATTTTATAGACATAATAAGTGATCTCTCTCTCTCGCTGTGTGTGTGTGTGTGTGTGTGTGTGTGTGTGTGTGTGTGTGTGTGTGTGTGTGTGTGTGTGTGTGTGTGTGTGTGTGTGTGTGTGTGTGTGTGTGTGTGTGTGGTGCGTGTGCGTGTGCGTGTGCGGCGCGTGCGTGTGCGTGCGCGTGCGCGTATGCGTGCGTGTGCGCGTGCGCGTTGCGTGTCATGTTATGTTATGTTAAATTTGTTTTATAAAATACCTCCTTACTTTTTTATGTTTATGTCATGTTAAAAATTGAA